ACCAGATAACGCAGAATCAAATATTATATCGAACTATATAACTCACGATAGGATATAACAATATATGACACAATAATAATGAAAAAACTGGCCTGAGAGCGGAGCGAACGCACTTTCAAACCGAAGGCTGTGGCCGTCACCAGTCACTGGATAAATGCGATGAGGATGAGGATGAGGATGAGGATGAGGATGAGGATGAGGATGAGGATGAGGATGAGGATGAGGATGAGGATGAGGATGAGGATGAGGATGAGGATGAGGATGAGGATGAGGATGAGGATGAGGATGAGGATGATGATGATGATGATGATGATGATGATGATGATGATGATGATGATGATGATGATGATGATGATGATGATGATGATGATGATGATGATGATGATGATGATGATGATGATGATGATGATGATGATGATGATGATGATGATGATGATGATGATGATGATGATGATGATGATGATGATGATGATGATGATGATGATGATGATGATGATGATGATGATGATGATGATGATGATGATGATGATGATGATGATGATGATGATGATGATGATGATGATGATGATGATGATGATGATGATGATGATGATGATGATGATGATGATGATGATGATGATGATGATGATGATGATGATGATGATGATGATGATGATGATGATGATGATGATGATGATGATGATGATGATGATGATGATGATGATGATGATGATGATGATGATGATGATGATGATGATGATGATGATGATGATGATGATGATGATGATGATGATGATGATGATGATGATGATGATGATGATGATGATGATGATGATGATGATGATGATGATGATGATGATGATGATGATGATGATGATGATGATGATGATGATGATGATGATGATGATGATGATGATGATGATGATGATGATGATGATGATGATGATGATGATGATGATGATGATGATGATGATGATGATGATGATGATGATGATGATGATGATGATGATGATGATGATGATGATGATGATGATGATGATGATGATGATGATGATGATGATGATGATGATGATGATGATGATGATGATGATGATGATGATGATGATGATGATGATGATGATGATGATGATGATGATGATGATGATGATGATGATGATGATGATGATGATGATGATGATGATGATGATGATGATGATGATGATGATGATGATGATGATGATGATGATGATGATGATGATGATGATGATGATGATGATGATGATGATGATGATGATGATGATGATGATGATGATGATGATGATGATGATGATGATGATGATGATGATGATGATGATGATGATGATGATGATGATGATGATGATGATGATGATGATGATGATGATGATGATGATGATGATGATGATGATGATGATGATGATGATGATGATGATGATGATGATGATGATGATGATGATGATGATGATGATGATGATGATGATGATGATGATGATGATGATGATGATGATGATGATGATGATGATGATGATGATGATGATGATGATGATGATGATGATGATGATGATGATGATGATGATGATGATGATGATGATGATGATGATGATGATGATGATGATGATGATGATGATGATGATGATGATGATGATGATGATGATGATGATGATGATGATGATGATGATGATGATGATGATGATGATGATGATGATGATGATGATGATGATGATGATGATGATGATGATGATGATGATGATGATGATGATGATGATGATGATGATGATGATGATGATGATGATGATGATGATGATGATGATGATGATGATGATGATGATGATGATGATGATGATGATGATGATGATGATGATGATGAATGCGTCGGTGATCCACGTTTGAGTTCGGTGTGCTACTGGCCAATTTTAAGAGCCAAATCAGTACTGCAGAGCATGTTGTGGTCAACCAATCAAGACCCACGCGCCCCATCCCTAACAGATCAAGCTACGCTGACAACGTGCAATAAAAAAGGAAGAGCAAAAGTGTAGTCTAGGCATTAAGTGTGAAAGATACAAAATTTGAAGAGGAAGTTAGTACAATTAAGATGGTAAGGAACTGAAGAGAAATCAAAATAAGAATTAGAGAGAAAAGGAAGATTCGGAGCTACTAGCTGAGGGTTTCGGCTTCAAGGCGGTTTAAACTCCGTCACAGTGGATGACAATAAGACGTCCTCAGATAGCGCATTCCAGGAATCTGTCACTCTATGCGACAAACGAGCGTCAGTTGGAACCCGATTAGATCGGAATTTGTTTAACTTCAACGGATGCCCACGAAGAGTAGGTAACTGAGCAGGATGAAAAAGCTAGGATACATCTGGACCGATCCGCCCAGTTATTATACGATAAGTGAGTACGGCGGTAGCCCTGTTCACACAGGTGGACGGTCCAGCGTCTCATTTGGGAGTCTTTTTGGTCACTCGTGAAATAATGACTAAATGTGGAGAAAACTGTACAGTTAGTTCTGCTATAACGGACAACAAAAAATGGTATTCAATTAATGTTATAGGTTTGATTATTCCCACACTGAACGTTTGGTTAACTGTACCAGAAAACCATATATCGGACATTTTCTCGTCATTGCTATCGCGGTGAAAGTTTGTAGTTATGCCTCGCCGACGTCGAAGACCTTATACTGGTGGCTCTTGGCCTAACATCGATGGACACATGAAACATGCTTACGGTAGCGTAATGCAGAACAATGCTACATTCGGTATGCATATATGTTCCTATGGTTAAGGTCTTTTCAGATGCTTACCCAAATACGTCTCGACCGGTTGTGTACCCCTCGCTTTCCAGAAGCCTTGAACAAGTTGCTGGGACTTCCACACAGACATTAATGGATTTCGTTGGCAGTGTTCGTTCTGGTTCACATGATTTATAGGCAAAACCTTTGGATTCGTCTAGTGGTAAGCGAACTTTCCCAACGCGTAACATGCTTAAAGAAGTGCCTGCTGATCTAGCACCTGTGATTTCAACGCCGCAGTTGACAAGCATTACTGCAATCTGACGTGGTATCGCGATTGATGAATATTTACCAACTAGAACGATAAACCTGATGCTTCGGCAAATTCGTGCGCTGCACCCTGAGTTGCTGTGCGACTCGCGCACATTGCTCGGTACACCACGTGGATGCCCGGTTAACGTTGTTAAGAGTGGCCATTACGTGTACGTTGGACTGATTACAGGAATACGTCGCGTGTTGCAAACCAATAACGTTACTGTCATGCCGAATTTACAGCTATAGCTGCATAGAGATGGATTTACCCTGTTTCGCAGTTCGCGTAAACCTTTGTGGCCTGTTTTTGCTAGACTCATAGATCCAGCTTCATCCGTTTCCATTGTCGGAGTGTATTTCGGCTTGTCGAGACCTGCAGATGTACATGAGTTTCTATGATCAACCATTGCTGAGCTGAGATATGATATGCAGGTAGGAAGCCGTATACCTCCAGAACCTTTGGTGGCACCTTAGAGTGCGGATGCTCCTGCTCCGGCATCCATCCGACAAGAAGCATTCCGGTTACTACACATGCGAAAAATGTACCGTTACTGGTTAGTATCTGATTTCATTAGCATTTCCATAACTTCCGATAGGTGTGCATGTAGATGGCCACATGACTCCCAATAAACACGAATACCACGCAAGAGTGATGAAGATTTCTGTCGGCGTCACCAAGAACACCACGTGGGTGAATCACTCCATGAGGCACTACAAAATGACATGACAAGCGCATTTCCTCTGGATTACATGCACATAGTTTGCCTTGGGTTCATGAGGAGTCAGGTGCTACAGCAGCGTCACGAAAATCACAGACCGACAATATCGGTGTTCCTCGATTTCAAGAGTACGTTACATTCAGTCGATCGATCCATTCTGTTCGAAATACGTGCACGGAAAGGTGTTCCCACAAAACATGTGAACATCCTACGTGCTCTATACTCGAACACTACAGGCCGCGTCAGGATCTACGGTGACCTGTCGAATAGCTATCCGACCACAAGTCGCGTTCGTCAGGGTTATCCGATTTCCCCATTTTTCTTCAATTTCGTCGCGGACGCTATCACGAAGTGTTCCCTTGCGGAATCTTACGATGCAGGCGTTGAGGTTCCGCCTGGTGGAAGGTTAGTTGATCTAGATTAGGCGGAAGATATCGTCTTGCTTTTCAACGATGTTGCGACGGCACAATCAACCATGAGTAGCCTGTCTAGAGTGGTCCCATTGTTTGATATGCGTTTCGCACCTTCAAAGTGCAGTGTTGCTGCAAGACCACCAGCCACTTTATGACCTCTTGACCGTTGCTAACGAGGAGATCGAGGTGGTTAATCAATTCACTTACCTTGGCAGCAGCGTCAGCAACGATGAGGGCATAGAAATCGAAGTCAGTTCACACATTGCAAAGGTCAGAACTGCTTTCTTGAACCTGCGGCATCTTTGGCGACAGAAGGAGTTTTCCACCGTCTGAAAGGCCATGTATACAAGGCCACAGTGAGGGCCGTCGTGCTCTCTGGTAGTGAGATTTGGCCCCTTCGGTCTAACGATCTCAGGCGCTTTCAAGTCTTTGGTCATGGTTGTCTGCGAAGCATTGCTGTTGTCGGACGGCACAAACGTGTCCTTAACGATGATGTATGTAGGCGAGTAGTAGATAGTGATAATCATGCTAACTCCATAGAACAACAGATAGCACTGAATAAGTTGCGTTGGCTTGGACACGTGCTACGTATGCCTGGTCACCGCTTACCTAGGAAGGCCATGTTTAGTCTGCCAGGTGTAGGATGGCGCAAAGCTCAAAGTGGACAGAAGTTGACTTGGCAGCGGAAAATGAACTCACTGACGACCAATCTGGGTGCCGTTGGTCCTCCTCGCCTTCCTGTCTGAAGTCCACATAACTCGCCTTGTGCTTGGCTCAAGAGTTTACAGGACATGGCTCGCAGTGGCGCGTCTGCTGCCGTCTAGTCGGATTGCCTGTTAAAAGTGTGTTTGGAGCTGTTATCTGCGGCGTAATAGCTGATTATGATGCGGGACAGTGAAAGCCGCAAGGAAGCTGTCTCGTCGATGCCGTCTTTGCACGATAGTCAGCTGTTTGTGACGAAATGTTGTCTACACAAGGTGTAGGCGCCCTGATCCGGAATGTTTGCTTAGGGCATTAAGGTTTTCAGGTTAGTCACGCTTTTCTCCCTCTTAGTATTCTTTATTCCATAGGTCATCATGGTTGTATGGCAGCAAAGCATCAGTTCAAATGGTGGTATATTGCTGTTGTTGATTGACTGATAAGGCATTTGATTAATTTGTGGCGGAAAGACCCCACAATCACCGAGGTGCGCTTGTCCGCCATGCAGATATCGGATGTGAACACCAGGATAGATCAATGCCGCAAGTTACTGAGCGTAGATTTCCCCAGTAAGTGCCGCAATTTCGTAGATGCAGATCGATGGAAAGTCACAGAATATCGGCAGTTCCTGCGGCGCATTAGCCCAGTTGTGATGCGCGGTATATTGAACCCTACGATGTACGAGAACTTCTTGAACTTCTCTTAAGGGATGCATGTGTTGTGCTGCAAGTGGTGCGAATATTATTTCTTTCTAGCACAGTCATCAATTCAGTTTGTTGACATCTACGATCCCCAGGACTTAGTGTTTAACGTCTACTGCTTACTGCATTTGGGAGATGATGTGAGTGAATTCGGACCACTGGACTCCTATTCCGCTTTTGCATTCGAGTCACACCGTCACAAGTTGCGCCGTCTTGTTCTTGGTCCAGGTTTGCTGTCGTTTCAGGCATTTCGGCAATTGGTTGAAAAGGTTGCATATTCGCCACAGCCGTTAAACGGAAACCTTGATGACACATACAGCGCTTTAGCGGCACGCCGCCCTTCTACCGTGAACCAAGTTCCCGTCAGAGATTTCGTTGTGACAGATGCGCATCCGGACAATGCCGTAACTGTTGGCAACAGATCGTCAGTGATTGTCAGCACTCGTAATACACTGGTGTGCGTGCAAAGTTGTGCGAGAGTGGAGGCCTACAAATTTGTTCCGTCTAATCATCTGCGGATAAACAGATGTTCTCGAGCTCATCCCAAGCAAAAGTGGATCTCCACCATTTTCATCCAATGTAAGTGTTTGTCATCTCCGGAAACCGAATGCCCAAACTTGGGATGGAACAGCGGCTCATCAGTTTCATCGCATACTAGCTGATGTCATAATGTCTTCCTTTAGACTTAAGAACTATTCTGTGGCGTGCATCTGAGTGTGAATGACGCACGCAATACACAGATGGAGAATTGCAGAGCGATGCGCTTCATTACTCTGCGGTACCGGTAGAGGACTGAGTGGCAATATATATCGGAGTTCCGAAATGAAGCCTTAAAAATTCCGTGGTAAGTGCCATTTCCGTAGGTAATTGAAGTCACTATATGCAGGTATGGTCTTTAATGACCACATGAATTTCAGTGGATACTGTTATGCATATACAAGGGGGGAGATCGTCAGAATCCTGCAAACTACCGGCCGAGCTGTCTGACATCGATACTTTGTAAAAGCATGGAAAGAATTTTCAAGGAAGTTCTAGATCTTCACCTAGGGAACCTGTATATCATCTCATGCGCACAACATCGTTTTCGGAAGGCACATTCCTGTGTCTCTAACTTGTTACCAGTGAAAAACAGGCGAGATCGCTGGATGCCGGTAATCGTCTGTATGTCGTTTTCGTCGACTTCAGCAAGGCATTGGACAATGTTCCTCATGGACGTCTCCTTCTGAAACTCCGGGGAAATGCCGTTTCTGGGAAGATTCTCTACTGCGTCGCTGCCTTTCTCATTGGCCAAAGCATGCAAGTGAAAGTGAACGATACCTACTCCAGTCCTGTTTTCATGATCAGTGGGGTCGCACATGGCTCTGTGCTTGGTCCTGAGCTCGGCGAAATCTACATCAATGTTCTTTCATCCGAGCTCCAAACTGATTACCTCATATATGCTGATGATCTGAAACTATGGCTTGCATTACATCCGTTCCTCCAATTACAAGTCCCATCGCATCAAGGTAAGACAAGCAGATACTTGCTTAACGTTTTCGCTTCAGCTCCCAAACTGATATACCGAAGCAAGATCATTCTGTAACAACAGAACTGCGTGTGTTGCACAAGTCGATGCTGGAAATTAAGCAATATATGCGGGAGTAATGTGCGAAACATGCTAGTGATAACGCTAGCATTCGGGAGGAACTCCACACCACGAAGTTAGAGATGGCCTGCATTAGCTTTCAGTTGTCAGCTGACGCCAAGATCAGTGCATGTTCTGTGCTGTTTCTGTTGAAGACAATGGAGGATCTGCAATCCCTAGATCGACGGCTAGAGAGCCGGGCTGTCATGACCCAGTTAGTATGATGTCGCTTATGTACGCTTTTGCTTTAGATTAACTGCTTCACCATGATGGGCGGGAACACCGTTTCGACAGCAATGCGCAACATCATGCAGGTTGTCTGCACGGACGAGTTGGCTAACCAATTGAACTGGCGCGGCGTTCGCACAAAACACCGATTCGGTGAGACTAGATTGACCCGAACAACCATCGGTTAGTTCCAAATATAGCATCTGATCTCCATGTTTTGGATGATTCTCTGCAGTATTGGTCTGAAGAGAATCATCGAAAATAATTGTTCACCTATGGTCTCGTGTTCTACTGACTCTAAATGGAAATTTTCAAGTTGCATATATCACAATACCGTATCATTCTATCGGTGCACTTTAGCTTTCACAAGTTGCATAATGACCTGCTATATGTTGACTTTCAGGCCCAGTGCTCTAGAGCTGAAAGCCAAAACTTCTGAAGCTACGCCATGCATGGATAATGTTTGCACCCGACGCACCGGGCTTTCATCATGTCCTTTGATTCAATATACAATACACCTTGTTCATGTAATGGTGTAATTACGTTTTAAAATGGCTTTACACGAAACTCAGGATAGATTCAGATACCGGGAATTTAGTGCTGGGAGTAGTTGTGACTAGTGGAAAATATTGCGGGGCTTCACTAAAGCTGCGCAGGATATATTTGAGTGACTAAAAACCACCCAAAAAAGTGTCCAGTTGAGACGGCCGGGGCAAAAATATTGGTCACTCACGGACGTCCAAAGGTCACCCCGGCGGACACTTTTCGGTCACTCGTGCGGACAGAGTGAGGAGTGAAAACAACTTTAACTTAAATAGTCTGTCTGGGTAGAACAGTTGCCGCGGCCCTCGGACCATTTTGGTACCACTCCTCAAGACCCGCTCTACCACCATCCTGTCACGAGTTAGACATGGAGGATAAGCCTGGAGCTGGGGTCTAACAAAGGCCGTAAACAATTTAATAAATATGTCTTTCTTTAACATATCAAATGATCTGCGGATTATCCAGAGTGTTCGGAAGACCTTGGTAGCCGCTCGTTCCCAGTTCTCGCTGGATTTGAAGTCCGGAGCTAAGGTAACACCTAAGTGAACTTTTTGGGACAATTTGTTAATGCGTTCCCGAAAAGGATGTAGTGCGTCGTCGGGCCACTTGATCCTACGCATATTAATGAACACTTTGTGTAGTTTATTGGCATTTGCCACAGGACGGACTAATCAAGCAATCTGTTGAGAGCTTGTTGCAAATCCTGGGAGCCAGCAGTCGCTCACCGTGCACCAGAACTTCGAGTCGTCCACGAACATGAGGGTAGGCATTCCCAGCACTTCCGGCACTTCGTCAATGTACCCAGCAAACAACAGCGGGACAAGGACTGATCCCTGTGAGACACCGCTCAGAACGGCTTGTCGGAGGAAAAGACTAATGCCTGCTAGACCACACATATCCCTTCCTTCAAGAAATGCTGGTAGCCATTAAACCACGTTTCCGGAGACGACGCAAGAACACATCTTAAGTGAAGGAAGAGAATGTAATAGAGAGTCAAACGCATTGGAGAAGTCAATGAACAGTAGGTCCAACAACAACAACAACAACAACAACAACAACAACAACGACGACGAAAACAATAACAGTACATCAGCTATTTGAACTGATGCTTCGCTGCCATACAACCATGATGATCTATGGAATAAAGGATAATAAAAGGGAGAAAAGGGGGACTTACCTGAAAACCTTAACACCCTAAGCAAATATTCCGGATCAAAGCGCCTACACCTCGTGTAGACAACATACCGTCACAAACAGCTGGCTATCGTACAAAGATAAGGCGGCATTGGCGCTCCCAGATGATTTGTTCGCAAAATTGAATGGTGGTATATGTTTCGCAAAGCTAGATATCTGATGCATACCTGCAGATCGAAGTACATGAAGTTGCACGAGAATAACTCACCATCAATACGCATCGAGGCTTGGACCAGTATCACCGTCTCTCGTCTGTAGTCAAGTCTGCACCAGCTATATTCCAGCAGATCATGGACACAATGCTGACAGATGTTGATGGAGAAGCCGAATACTTGGACGACATCATTGTTGTCGGAGGCAGTCATCATCATCATTATACACGTTAGCTAGAGGTGGGAAACACCTCAGCTACTGTGCCGCAATACCTAAAATAAAAACGGAATAAAATGCAACAGGTGCAAGTCAGCTGAGCTACCGGTAACGGATGGACATCGTTCCGGTAAGCTACCTGCCGGCTACTATGCAGTAAAAAAAGTAATTTTCTATGCAAATTTGTAAAAGGCTAAATAGTGAGATAGGGGTTAAAGTCGGCTCCTAGCCATATCCACAAGTGTATCCAGCCAAACGTGTTCATCGCCCTTCGGACCCAAACCAGGGAGCCGAGACGCTCTAACTGAGGCCAGCTTCGAAGTGAGGGCTTTCATTCCTCTCGACCAAGTCATCGCTTGGCCACCTACCCTCTTCTTTCATTCACACCCCCGGTGCGCAGACAACGCACGTCGCGGGAGTCGGTGGGCTGGCAAGCGTAACACGTGGCAGTCATCGGAACCTGGCACGTGAAATAACGGTGCTGAACAGTTCATTTCCTTTTCCTGTGCTGTAAACAAGGTATCGAACACGCTCGTTGCTCACGCGGTGTTCCCACCAGATGTGAGCTAAATTGCGAAGGCACCGGTGGTCGAACGTAACTAGCCTCTTTATATCCGCTGATCTAAGGGGTCAGGTTTCACAATCGTACAGTAGGGTCGAACGTACCGCTGCATTGTACACGCTACCCTTCAGAGTGACAATGATGTCGCGCCGGCACCATAAGTGGCGAAGGTTAGCAAAAGTGTATCGAGCTTTTGCTATAGGGTTCGTGTTCTCATCTTCAATCCCACGGGCGCTGATACAACTGTCGGAGGCAGTGCTGATGACTTATTCAAAAAGTTGGATCGAGTTCCTGGCCATGTTGAGGAACATCGATTCAGACTCCAAGGTGAGAAGTGTGCCTTTTTCATGGACTCGATTAGGTTTCTCGACTTTATTATCGACAGGAACGGCAGGCATCCAGATCCAGCAAACATCGAGGCAATCAAGAAGATGCCACCGGTTAAAGATATTACAACACTAAGGTCCTTCCTGGGACTCATAAGCGAGTACAGCCCGTTCTTACCACACATGCATCGCTTGTGTGGTCCACTCACACTGGAACTGATCCGAACAACGACAGAGCTCATTTGAAGAGACTACTATGTTCCGACCTGCTAACACATTACGATCCAACTTTGGAGATTGTGGTGGCCGCAGACGCCTCGAACTACGGCATTGGCGCAATCATAGCCCACAAGTTCGTAGATAATTCAGAAAAGGCAATCGCACATGCACCCTGGTGGTTGTCTGCCTCAGAGCGAAATTATGGCCAGATAAAGAAAGAAGCCTTGGCGATAGTCTTCGCTGTAAAAAATTTCATAAAAGGAAGTTTGCACTTCTTACTGACCATAAGCCACCGTTGACAGTTTTCGAATTAAAGTCGGGCATCCCTGCCTATCCGGCAAACAGTTTGCAGCGGTAAGCTACTACATTACTCGATTACGACTTTACGGTGAAGCACATTGCTACAAAAGATATTGGCCAAGCTGATGCACTTTCCCGGTTATTGGAAAGCTAGCAGCACCAACAAGAAGAGTCTATCATTGCAGCGCTCTCTGGAGTCGGAAGTGAATCAGGTGTTGTTGGAAACGCTCAGAGAACTATCGGTAACCTTTGAAATGATACGTGACGCATCAATGTGGTATCCTGTCCAACAAGTGGTCAGATTTCATACTACACAGTGATCGAAAGACAATCTAACTGAGGAATTGCAAAGCGTGTCGCGGAGAAGACAAATTATCCATCGTTAATGGCTGTTTACTTTTAGCGGAGAGTTGTTATCGCTAATGAGTTTCCCCAAAGAATTCTACGACAGTTTCATCGTGGCCACCCTGGCATTCACAGAATGAAAATGACTGCGCGGAGTTACGTTTACCGGCAGAATATCGACTCGGAGCTGGAACAGCTAGTGAAATCGTGTCCGAAATGTGCGCTTGTAAGCAAGACGCCCAAGATCATCAACAACATCAACAACAGCAGTACATCAGCCATATGAATTGATGCTTCGCTGCCATACAACCACGAGGACCAATGGAATAAAGAATAAGAGGGAGAGAAGGGGGACTTACCTGAAAACCTTAATGCCCTAAGCAAACATTCAGGGTCAAGGCGCCTACACCTTGTGTTAACAACATACCGTCACAAACAGCTGGCTATCGTGCAAAGATAAGGCGGCATCGGCGAGACAGCTTCCTTGCGGCTTTCACTGCCACGCGTCATAACCAGCCATTACCCCGCAGATAACTTAGCCCCAAACACACTTTAAACAGACAATCCGATTAGGAGACGGCAGCAGACGCGCCACTGGTGTCGGTTGCGAGCCATGTCCTGTAAAGTCTCGAGCCAAGCACAAGGTAAGTCACGTGGACTCCAACCCGGAAGGCGAGACGGACCAACGGCACCCAGTTTGGTCGTCAGTGACTTCATTTCCCTCTGCCAAGTCAACTTCTGTCCACCTCGAGCCTTGCGCCATCCGACACCTGGTAGACTGAACAAGGCCCTCCTAAGTAAGCGGTGACCAGGCATGCGTAGCACGTGCCCGAGCCAATGCAACTTATTCAGTGCTATCTGTTGTTCTAGGGAGCTAGCATGATCATCACCACCTAGTACTCGCCTACGCACATCATCGTTGCGGACACGCTGGTGCCATCCGACACCAGCAATGCTTCGCAAACAACGATGATCAAAGACTTGAAGGCGCCTCAGATCTTCAGACCGAAGGGGCCAAGTTTCACTACCATAGAGCAGAACGGCCCTCACTGTGGCCTTGTATACACGGCCTTTCAGACGGAGGGAAACTCCCTTCTGTCGCCAAAGATGACGCAGATTCAAGAAAGCAGCTCTGGCCTTTGCAATGCGTGAGCTTACGTCAATTTCTATGCGCCCATCATTGCTGACGCATCTGCCAAGATAAGTGAATTGATCAGCCACCTCGAATTCCTCGTTAGCAAGCGTCAAGGGGTCATCAAGTTGCTGGTGGTCTTGCAGCAACACTTTGCACTTTGAAGGTGCGAAGGGCATACCAAATAATGGGACCACTCTGGATAGGATATTCAGGGTTGATTGTGCCGCCTCAACATTGTCGAAAAGCAAGACGATATCGTCCGCATAATCTAGATCAACTAACCTTTCACCAGGCAAGACCTCAACGCCTACATCGTGAGATTCCGCAAGGGAACACTTCATGATAGAATCCAGGACGAAACTGAACAAAAACGGGGAAATCGAACAACCCTGACGAACGCCACTTGTAGTCGAAAAGCTATTCGATAGGACACCATAGACCCTGACGCGGCCTGTAGTGTTCGAGTATAGAGCACGAAAGATGTTCACATATTTCGTGGGAACACCTTTCCGCGCAAGTAATTCGAACAGCATCGATCGATCGACTGAATCGAACGCACTCTTGAAATCGAGGAACACAGCTATTGTCGGTCTGCGGTATGCGTGGCGCGGCTCTAGCACCTGCCGCAAAGTAATTATATAGTCTATACAGCCACGTCCTGGGCGGAAACCGGCCTGCTCTTCCCTAATCCGAGATTCCCGTTCTGCAGTGAGGCGACGAACGATAATCGAGGCCAGTAATTTTGTCACAACTGGCGTTAGGCTAATACCCCTGTGGTTCGCACAGTCTGTGCGACTGCCTTTTTTGTATATTGCCACTATAATCGATTCGCTCCAATTACGCGGCACACTGTTCGTTCCAGATACGTTCGAATAGGGAGGTCAGTGCCCTGCAGAGGACCTCACCTCCCTCCTTAAATAGTGCAGGTGGGAGGGAATCCGGGCCAGCAGCACGAAAACCATTGAGGGCTGTGATCGCGTTTCGGACCTCGGCCTCCGACGGAGGCTCTAAACCAACCGTCCATGGCACGTCCTGCATCACCTGAGTAGGAAGAGATCTGGGAGCAGGGGGCCAGCTGAACTGATTTTGAAAGTGTTCCGCCCAACGAGCCATACGGCGCTCCTTATTGTGTATCAGCGCACCCGCGCTGTCTCTGATTGTCTCACTGACGCCTGGTTTTCTGGGACCAGTGGTGCGGATTAGCTGGAAGAGCTTACGGTAATTGCCTGCTGCTCCTGCCTCCTCCATTTCTTGAGCCCGACTGGTCCACCAGGATTCCTTGTCAGCATGTAGGCTCCGCTTTAGTTCACGCCTAATAGCCCGTCTGGTCACGTTGTGTTCAGAGCCAGCCGGGAGGTGTCTTCTAGATTCCAACAGGTTCACCGACCTCTCGGATGTCCAGTGACTGATGCGGTGACGACTGATAGTGCCACAGACAGATGCTCCTGCGTCCTGCATAGCGGCCGAGATCCTATTCCACTGAAGTTCAGTGTCATTAGGATAAGACAGCGAGAGTTCGCTATGCAGTGCTTCTTGATAGGCTTGCCTGACAGAGGGCTGGGACAATTTCTCCGTTGCCAATCGGGGGAGACGCTTTGTGCGCCTTCCGGTAAAGTTCATGGAGAAACGACAGCCTACCAAGGCATGATCAGAGTCGACACAGGTACTCCAGTACGAGCGGCAATCCAGAATGGAACCGCGCCACCTGTAACTTATGGCTATGTGGTCAATTTGGGTCCATCGCTGACCAGCTACTGGTGGACGCCAAGTGGCACTTCGGCGCCCTTTGTGTCTAAAAGCAGTGCTAGTAAGAAACAACTGGTGCTCCGCACACAGTTGCAGCAGACGCTCGCCGTTGTCAGTCCGTTCAGAGTTAAGTCCATACTTACCACCCAGCTGAGCTTCTGAAGAGCTCAGACGCCCTACTTGTGCGTTTATATCCCCTGAAAGTACTATAATATCTGAGCTAGTAGCACTGCGTAGTAGCCCGTTCAGTTCGTGATAGAAAGTGTCCTTGACTGCATTAGAACTGCAGTCAGTGGGAGCATAAACGGAGATCAAAAACAGCGCTTTGTACTACTTCGCGAATTCACCTTAGCTGATGTCGTCAAACGGGTTGCACATAAACGGCTGTTCATCGGAATCCAATCAACCAACGATAACTCAGCGT